CCAGAGCACTGGTGAACAGAGCATTACGTTTAATGGACTCCTGAGAAACACAACAACTCTTCCCCAAAACTATTTGGTATGTAAATACTGCTTAGTGACCCCAGACATTTTTCTATCAATATACTTACCAAGATTAGCTCTTAGTTTTCCAGATCAAACAAAAGTTCAGGTGTGATACAGTTTTCTAATATTTGTCTGCAATTTTTAAGAAGTTATGCTGCAAGTTTTTTCTCATAATTCTCTCTTCTTATATTTTCATTTGAGATTTTTCTATGCACCAAAACTGTATTTCACATGGCAATTTCTTCTTGTTAATGTTTACTTTAAGGCTGTGAACAAAGAGTTCTCCTTGTTCAAATCTAACCACTATCTGGTGCTTACTGGCTACATTTTACATGGCAAAAATAATCAAGATGTTATTAAGCAAGTAAAGAAAATGTTCTAGTGAAAAATATCATTGTACATCCCATTCCTCTTAACCTACTCAACTCTGCCTATATCGGTTCCTGGGGGAAGGAATTTCTCAAAAGATTGAAAATGGATTGCATAGCATTAAAAGAGTTTGACAATAAGCTCTGCTGACCCAACTACTTATTGACAGTGGATAATTTACTTCTACAGCACTTCCTTGTTGACTAAGCTACTATTGAGCAGAAGCAATGATGTTGACAAGTCTTTTTCTTTGGAATGTGACTATTTTTAAATGCTAACCAAGGGTTCAATGCAGAAGAAAGCCCATTTATTTCCAGTCCCTACTGTTTAAAGTAGCAATATACAAAACATATAACTGAGCTTTCACTCAAGGATTCCAAAGTTAAACAAAAATGCTTGTCATCACTTTGAATCACAGGATAGAATTATTGGAAAGCACATTCATATGCAGTTTGACTCTTCTCCACATTGGAGTAATTTCCCGGCATTGTAGCTGGACTCCAGGGATTTTGAATGTAGTAATGAATTGCCGCAAACCTTCCAAGAATTACAGAACCATATGTCTCAGGGACTGGGAGAAGGCTGTAGCTATAGATAAGGATGTGGAAAGGGAGTGCTACTATTTCTAAAGCCAACTGTGTAAGGTTACAAATTGAAATTCATTGCTTATGCGGATGAAGCTGGAATGCATTTTTCCCATACTGCTTAGGGTGGAATTTGTCACCATGGTAGGAAATTGGCTACTAAACTTTCTAAGTTGCTTTCTAATGATTAAATAGCTGAATGCTCAGATTCTTACAATTTTCATACTACAAGTTCAAATTTATTTATGGGTTCCATTATCTGGATGACTATAATAAAATATTCTCAGAAGCTTAGGACAAATCAAGAAGAGCCAAAATATGGAAATGAAACTACTGAGAACTAAAACACAGTGGATGGCAGTAGCCAGCTGTGGAAGTTCCATATTAAAGAGATCTGGATTTCCCTACTAAAAGGTTCAAATCAGTCAAGGAATCAAATGTAAATAAGAAACATGTAACTTAATCAAATTAATCCATTTAATGCATGTGAAAATGATGCAAGTGTGTTTATAGAAGCACCATAATTCACACTAAGGCTAGAAAAAAGTACAGCAAAATAAAAGGCTTAGAAAACTTTATTCAGCACTATGCAAGAAAATAGAGCACATCTGGGTCATCTGAGATGAATTCGAGCCATAAGTAACGATGGCTCACCAAGCTTTTTCATGGACTCTATACAATCTTCAGGACGTTATGGGGGGAAAACAAATGATAGAGAGAATACATATCTGTACTAGGTTGGATTTAAGTGAAAGATACAATCCTAGATAATCTGAGTGGGCCTAATCCAATCAGTTGGAAGGCTTCAGAGTGGAACTGGGGTTTCCTGGAAGAAGAGGCCCTACCTGTGAACCGGAGATTCATCCTCTGAGAGATCTAGGCTCAACCGGAGATCTGAGGTGGCCTAACCAATCCCAAAGTCAAATGGGCCAGTTCTTAAAATAAATCCTTTCAAAGACAATGCTATGGTTCTGTTTATCTGCATTAACAATAAAACATTCCTACACAATGTTTCTCAGGGAACTAATAGAGAATATATTTTAACAGAAGACAGAATACCAAGGAGCAGTAACATACACCTGTAATCCCAGTGACTTGAGGCTGAGAAAGAAAGATCACAAGTTCAGTGCCAGCCTGGGAACACCAGTGAAACTGTGTCTCAAAATTTTTAAAACATTGTAAGGGCTGGGGCTGCATCTCATTGCAAGGTCCTAGGGCTCAATGCCCAGTATTGAGATGGGGAATGAGGGAGATCATTAACTAAAGAACAAGAAAGAGTAAAATCAAGAAAACAAAGGGTTTGATTTAAAAGAAATAAAGGGAATCCTAGGATGATGATAACTGACTGAAAGTTCTTAGAATGACATCTGTGGACCATATTCAGTAATACGTCTAACACTCACAAGATAAACAGAAAGGGATGTTTATAAGGTAAAAATTATTAACATGTATCAGGTTAGTGGAGATTAGTATCTCGAGAAGAAGACAGATTTAAAAGTAAAATTGACAGAAGTTCTTAGTGACTTAAGACCAGACACACACGTTACCAGACAGTTTATTGGCAGAACCACAAAAGTCTGTCTGCAGTTCCCTGTAAGCCCAGGAAGCAGGCACTTCAGCGACACTATTCTAGGGCTGCACATGTGCTGTAATTAGGCTTTTGCCTAAGATTATAATCAATTTTATATTCTGAAGAAAAAAAATCTACTCTCCATTACAAAAGAAAGGTAAGGAAAGTCTGAAAAACGAATGCTTCTCTGTGGTTTGGTATGTTCGAGAAAAATAATGTTGTGAATGGAACTGAAGAAATGGTCTGGGTAACAGGCCAAGCAGGAAAAAATTTCTTAAAGGCAAGAATTAGAATCTGTGCTTATAGAAAAATTTCTTTTAGTAGATGGAAAGAAATTCAGTACTACTAAAGTTGTGCTGTATAGAATGCAGCTCAAGCTCTAGAGTGATGACTTTGCTATCAGTCTATAAAACAAAATCACATTAGATAACCACATCATGTTTTGCTTAGCTAGGTCAAAAATTACACTTAAAGTAACTCTAGTTATAAATTGTACTGTGGGGGAAAGGAATGCTTTTGAATTTCTGGAAATGAGTCAAAAAATAGTGGAATTAAGCAGAGAATGACATGTAGTAAATACTTTTAGATCTCAGATGGGTATTTGATGTTTCATTTAGCCAAGTCATAAATCCAGAAGTAGATGAACAGGCTGCCAATAGTAGGTTCAGTTTCCTGCGGTCACTGGGTAGTGGTTTTGAAGGTCCCAAAGGGCTTCAAAATTGTCTTCTTCCACATTATCAAGTGAGGATTCCCAGGGAAGTTGGAAATACACAGATGTCTTAGTCCATTTTCTGTTGCTATACCTTTGTATCACTGACTCAGTCATTTATAAAGAACAAATGTTTATTTAGCTCAAAGTTGTAAGAGCTGGTAGTGCACGTTTGAGGAGCTGGTATCTGGAGAAAGGCTTCCTGTTGCATCACTCCATGATAAGAAGCATCACATGGCAAGACAGTGTATGTAAGCTTAGATTCCTCCTCCTCCCCCTCATCTTCCTCCTTGTCCCCCTCCTTCCCCTCCTCCTCACTCTCTTCTTCTTTGTCTTTCCCTTCTCCTTTCCCTTCCCCCTCCCCCTTTACCTCCCCCTCCTTCTCTTTGGCTTCTTCTTATTCTAAAACCACCTGTCCCACCATGGAAGCCTCACTCTCATAATATTACCTAATTCTGGTTACTTTCAATAGGCCACACCTCCAAAACCCACCAATTTGTAAAAAAGGGAGGGGATCAAGAGATGGGTAGAAGGGGAAGAGGGAAAGGAAAAGGAAAAAAGAATTGATAAGTATTATGTACATGTACCAACTCCTCACAAGGAGTGTAAACATTGTGTGCTATGCACATGTACTAATAAAAAATGACTTTGGGGATTCATTTGTAATACATGAAACTTGGATGACACTTTTCAAACCATAGCAAATATGTTATTATTTAGTTCATTTGTCTTAAAGTAATGGAACCAAACATTTATGTATGTATATAGGGATAAATACTACAGTATCATAAATTAGGCACATTGGGACACCAGATGTGTAGTACCATAGCAACTTATCCACAAGCAAGAAAAAACTGAGCCCATAAGAACAGAGCATGAGGATACTAGCACATCTTGATCAGCTATCTTCTTTGGGAATAGCCAATAATTCCAATGACTCTTAATCAAAGGATATTGTAGCTCGAAACTGAGAGATAAGGGTCCCCATTTGTCAGGAAGAAACAATGTTAAGAATCTATCTGATATTGATTCTAATTCTTTTCCTAGCAAGCTCCTTGCCAAGAACAAAGACCATAGGGAAGAAGCTTATACCAGACAAATAGGGAGTCAGAGTCAGAGTCAAGTGAATTGCAATCTAGGGAAGACCTCAAGCCCATTAAGCAAAATATTGCAAATTCATAATCTGAATTACATTATGGTTTAGATCTAAAGTGCCCCTCCCAACGCTGTATGTACTTAGAAGGTGACTGGATCATGATGGTGATATACGCATCAGTAGATTCATCTACTGGTGAGTACTGTAGCTGAATGTGCCGTAAGGAGGTAGGCCTGGTTGGAGGTAGGTCACTGGGATGTGACTGGAAGGACACATTCTCCTCTCTCAGCTTCTTGTTTGCCAGGGGATAATCAGCCTTCTTCTGCCTAGGTCCTTCCACTGTGCCATTTCTGCCTTGGAGCCAGCTAACTATGGATTGAAACTATGGGCCACAGTAAACCTCTCCTCCTTTAAGTTGTAGAAGTCGGATATTTTGTCCCAGATGAACATAGTAACGAAGCTAGAAGGGCAGAAAAGCAAATATCCTGCCACAAAAGACTAGCATGGTCCAGGAGTTTGACAGGGCCATGCCAATTACAAACCAGGAAAAATAGTTCTCTAAGATTCTGGCTATAAGTGGTGCTAATAAAACTGTTTTGACCTTCTTACCTGGTAACAACACTGTCAGGGAACTTTGGTCAGTCTCTCCCAGCATGAGAATGACATCTTTTACTTCAGATGGGAGGACCTGGGGATGACCAGAACAAGGAAAATAAGATCATTAAAGACAACTGAAACATGTCTGTGGCTACATAAAAAGAAATGATGCGTGAGTCCTATTTCAAAGCCGTTATATATACTGAGAATCTAAAGAGCCCTTGTCTGTGAAGAGTAGTATTTAATAAGCTGGGTGGTGGGAGTTCTATGTGATACATTTCCAAGAACTATGCTCCTGAGCAGGTCAGTGAATGGAAACTGCTGCACACTTACTCAGGCAGATATTTGTTCAGCATGATAACAAGAAGTGCTATGCTTTGATCTTAGTAATAGTTTATGAAACCTACTGGAGAGGCATGGAGAGAATGATCAAAGCAAAGACACAAACAATCCATATTTTCCTTTTCCTACAGAGTCTAAAAAAATCTTTTTTACGCATCTTTCATTATCCTTCAAAAAGCCTGTAGGGAAATAGAAGTAGATTTCTCAAGATTCATGAAAAAAAGCCACAAATCAAAACTGACATTTCAAATAGATGACTGTTTCTAATGAACTGACTGCAGCTGTTTGCTTTTCCTTAATTGGTATACTATCAATTAGCGCTTTTCCAAATCTGACGGCTTTCATTCCACTTTCTTTGGTAAGAAAACATCTAAAGTACATGGAAGAGTGGCTTAGAGGACCAAACGTACCTATTCATCCTCCAATCCACCTACTTTCTGCTGTAGTGCACAGGTATAGCAAAGTGGATCAGGAAAACTTGGAACAAATCTGCATCTATGTGTCTGTTACGCTCGCAAGTGAAAAATATGAAGTCACCTTTACAAAAGCTGTCTTGATTCGCAGTGGCTTGTCATTGTTTCCCCGAGTTACATTATTCAAGAGCAGAATTAGAATTCAATGGTCTTTTGATAGGTTGCTTTTTCTTTCCTTAAAAAAGGAATGAGTAGTTTTATCAATCTAGTTAGAGGTTTTGGATAGTTATTTCTGAATAAACAGATCTCCATCCAAAAATTAAGTAATTTCTACAATTTACAATTCTAAATATGTTTCTGAGCAAGCCAATGGTTTTAATGCTTTAAGAGGGCCAGGGAGTATCTTGTCCTATTCCCTATGTTTTAGTCAATAAACTGTAATTATGCTTATGATTTCATTTTATGAAGTGTAGATCAACGTTGTGCTGAGGTCACAAGGCAAACAAAAGTGCATGGGAATCCAGGACACCTGCCTCTTACAGATGGCCTTGATCTACAACCCTGTGTTGCTTTTCATTTGGAATATTGCCTGACTTAAATCACACTATCATAAGCCAGGCCATAGACACTAATTCAGTTATTGAGTGCTTTAAAATTTCCTAGATAGATAAGATGACTGCAATGTCTTCACAACACCAACTTCATAATTAAAATAAAGTTTTGTAAGATAAGTACAGGCAGTATCACATATTTTTTCTCCTTAAAGAAGAGTGTTGGCATTGTTGGCAATTATGTAGAGTCTCACACCAATGTATATAATTACACAATTCCTACATATCATAGGAAATATATTCTGATTTGGAATACAATTTGAGCCAATATCTGTAAGGAGAGAAACAAAACAAAGAAGAAGAAATCACTATATAGAAAGATGTAGCACATAGCTGGCACAGTATGAGAAGACTTTGGTTGTACCTTCTATACCTCTTGGTGGAGCAGGCTGAAAGGGGAGAATAAAGAAGGATGTGGAAAACATAAAACTAGACATTTCCAAATGGGCTTTACACTGTGCTGCTCTTGCTCCAGAGAAAATTATCACTCTCCACCAAGCATAGCTCAGCCAGAATTCTGGTTTGCAAGGGAACAGATTACAGTGCAGTATACTGAGGGAAGTGATGCTACCACAGACAATATCAAGAAACATGATGACATCTAAAGCCAGCCTTTGAGAAATCTTTATCTCCACTGGTAAATCGGGATACAGAAAAAACACACTTCACTATGAAAAAAGGCATCTTATTATAAAATATTATAAAAAGGATTGAAGTAGATATTTCTAGGACATGAATTTATTTATATTATGAAAAAGGAGATTTGATTCTTCATATTATTGGTATAGACAAAGATCTCCATCTGGTAAATTAATTCTAATCTAACTAAGTGCCTGGGACGAAGTGTATTCTTATCTTGTTTTAGATTAAAATATATTTTTATTTTTATATTTCTTAAATAAATAAATGTTAAAAAGATCTACAAATTAAAATTTCAACCACTGTGGAAATGATATTTAAAAAATAATTTAGTATAAACTGTATAATGAATAATATTAAAAATTATTTTTATTTTTAACAGCAATAAATACTTAATTTTATTCTTATAAATAATAGTATATCTGGAGAGCATGACCATATTTACATACTTGTGTAAATATTATATTATGCATTGTCTTGTCAATAAAAAAAGGAAAATTACAAAGACACAAAGCACAATAATTTATCTTTAGATGACTAGGTTAATTGAAGGGAACATTGTAGATATTTATATTTGTCAGAATAGGCTAGATCTTACATTTTTTATGAAAAAACAAATTTTAGAAGTTTAATAAAACAAAATCATGTCTTGCTTACTATAGGTCTGTTATAGGTCAAAGCTGCTGTTCAGACAAATGTCCTTAAAGACACTAAGCAAGCCCCTTACTATCTTCTAACCTTTTTCAGAGCATGTCAGTTTTACTTTTGTAAAATTTACTGAATTAAAACATTCTTCAAATATGTAAGTGATACTATCAATTGCAACTTTTACTGTAAGCCACAGTATCTATTTGAACAATGTTTTGATAGTATTTGTTTGTTTATTTTTGCTTTTAGGGAGGATGTTCGTATATTTGCACAAAGAAACAGATGCTACGGTAAGAAATGGGTTCCCATAGGCACTTACTAAAATTTGTATGTGTGTGTGTGTATGTGTGTGTGTGCTTTTCTTTCAACCACTTTTTTGATATTAATGTATAAAAAGCTGTACATTTTTAATGAACATAATTTATTGAATTTGGAGGTAAACATACACCCATGATATTATAACAAAACTTATACTATAAACCTATATATTACCTCCAGAAGTTTACTCTTGCCCTTTTCATGAAATTTTTGTTTATACGATAAGACTATGTAACATGAGATCTGCCCTTTCAGCAAATTTTGAGTATATACCACCACATTTTTAATTATAGGCACTATACTGTACAGTAGATCTCTAGGACTTTTCACACTGTGTAACTGAAATTTTGTACCTCTAATACTTCCTCTTTAGTGTCTCACTATTTACTTCTCTGCTTTTATGACATTGATTCCTTTAGATTCATCAGGTAACTGAGATCACGCAGTATTTATTTTTCTATTTCTGGGTTATTTCATTTAACATAATATGTGGTTAAGCTTAATTGTCACCTTGTTGGCTTGGGAGGTGGTTAGGGAACAGATAAAGTACACTTCTTGCTGTGTTTAAGTGGGTTATAGCAGCCCTAGGGTCTCTGTCTGGTCCCTGGCCTCTTCCTCTCTGGCTCGGTTCTCTTGCTCTGCTTTGCTGTCTCTTGTTCTGCCAGTCCTCCCCACTATCATGTTTCTTGAAGCTGGTCAATCACAGCTTTCCAATCACTAGGTTAGCACTTAAACAACCCTTTCAAACATCACTTATTTGCTGACAAAATACTGATACCCACCACATGATGCAAGATTTAATTTTGTTTGACATTTCAGAAGATTCAGTAAATGGTCCTGGCTCCAAAGCAGAATTATCACGACAGAGGGTCACAGAGGAACAAGGTGGCCTTTGCTTGGTGGCTGGGAAACAGAGCAAGGGAAAAGTATCAGAAAACAAGGGTTAGGAACCAGATACAGTATCCAAAGTTATGCTTCTATGATTGACCCAGACATGGCCAAAAAGGTGCTTTACTAACCCTTTGGGTGACTAGCAATCCAATAAATTTAATAATTTAAACTGTCACAAGTGAAAAAAAAAGAAATTATAAAGTCAAAAAATACGCTGTCACAAATATCTATTGAAGTTCTTTACCAATTTTTTACCAAATTATTGTGTGTTGTTTTGGTATTGAGTTGTAAGTGTTCCTTATAAATTTTAGATATTACCTTTCATTAGACACTTGAAAACTGTTCTCCGAGCTGAAACGTGCGGAGAGAGCCAGGCGGGGTGAACAAACCCTCAGCCCCACGCGCCCTGCGCAGCGAGAGCCAGTGTTCCAGGAGCGG